ATGTTAAATGGAGAGCAAAACGGAGGGTTACTTAATTATTTCACTGGAACAGTGATCTGTTTAGGGAAGTTTCCTGGCAGGTTACATTCGTTTGAACTCGTTCGTTTGTTAAGCGTTAACAACAGCCGGCATAGGCGCCGCTTAAGCTTGTCCTGGCGGTGAAGAATATTGGTTTGGTGGCGGTGGATAGCTAGGGAAGGCAGAGGAGGCTGAGTGTAACCAGACGGAGAAGCCTGGTTGTGGTTCACCGGCGAAGGAGGATGTACTTGCTGCGTCGTCGCCATGTGTGTCGAGACCATTTCTTGTTGCAGCTGTTGGCTGGTGACGACGGGTGCGTGATAGCGGCGGTACGGACATCAAGCGCAGAAGAGGCAGGATACGATGGAGATGATGATGGCAAATAACATAATTGTGCTAATATAACACCGCCTGCAATAGCACCGCCAATCCAACCACAGAGCGACAAACACCCTCCCCCACAACAATCTTCTCAGTCCAATGTCACACTGATGATCTTACGCACAGGTACAAGAATACAAACTGATGCATTTGCCATTACAGCATTGCTCGTCATTGTCACATTCGGAGTTTTCCTAACACTCAGAAAAATATACTTTCTACTAATGCATCGACTGATGCATTCAGTATTACAGTATTGCTCGTCACTATCAAAATCGGAGTCGTCCGAACACTCAGAACAAGAAGACGAACCCCTGATGCATTTGTTATCACAGCATTGCCTTTAATTTTCATTTGTTATGACAACATTACCTTTAATTTTCATAGTGGCTATTCGCGAATGAAGCTAAAAAATCAGATATTACATAAATTGGCAATGTTTACATCTAATGTTCTCAACAACAAACGTTTCAGACAAATGCGAATTGCAAGATATTGAAAGAACGTTATCTTCTGAGCAATATCCTGATGAGAAATCTCGCCTTTAGCTTTAATTAAAAAAAAAAACTGATCAACCTTCAGGGAGGACCACTCTACGTTACTACAAACATGTACCTTAAATCGTGTGCATATCATCCAGATTCTGAGTACTGTACTTTCTTTCATGGGAATTTGAGTAATCCGAAATCCTCTGACGATACACCGTTATGCTTGTCTGTCATTTGAATCATGTTAATACGGGCTGATCCAATTTATGCAAGATCTGATTTTTGAGCTTCGTTCGCGAATTGCCACTATGAAAAGTAAAGACCGGCCCACAGAGATTTTTACATATTTAAAAACTAGAATATTATAACCAACTAAGTGCGTAGTCTCGGTTCCAGAATCGGAGCACTTTTAGAGAAATTTAGACAGACGTTTTCCTTGTTTTACCCTACAGCAAAAATGACCTAAATGGTACCAAGATAAATAATATATTGGCGTCTTTACATTCACTCCCAGCTTGAGATAGAGAAATAAACATTTAGCACTTTTTTGCGATGATTTTTTATAAAAATTAGGCCGTCGGCCTCAAACAAGCAGCTGTTGTTACCACGACAACAAGAGTGCTGCAACCTTTAATAGGGCATTTTTGTACATCCCCCTTGAGTGCCTAGCTGCATGCAAAATTTGAAGGGGGTTGAAAATTTTCATTTCCCAGGATGTTTGATTCTCACAGAGACTCGTTCTTAATGTCTATTTCAACAAGTTTCATAGAAGAAAAGCGAACACGACGATGGGCTAACGCTCAAAACCTCAGCTTTGAAACTCTTTACAGTGAGCAACTTACATTATCCACAGGTTGATAAAGCCTAATTAAAGGTAATTAAAGGCATGCTAGAATTAATACTTGAAACCCGGCAAGATGTAGTACAAATGTTTTCACATGATAGGTCTCGAAATACCTGGTCAGGTCAGTTTTATGCAAACAGCCCCAACGGCAATTTCTTAATGGTGTGTCAGACTTTCGCGACCTTTACATGAACAAAGCAAAAATTCGGAATATTCGATGTAAAATTCTCTTGCGAACCGGTCACCGGCACTTCAAAAACGGGAAGCGATGTGGATTAGGGGCTTGTAAAGCTCATGGGCGGACTACTCCAGGATAAACTACAAGAGGACAAAGTCTAAACCAGAATTGAGAAATATCCACGACCCGGGAATGTCAACGGATTGAGTACACCCAGAGTGAACCCACTTATCTGGAACCAAATCCCAGCGCAAGTGCGTACAAGCGACTCGAAATCGCAAAAGTCGCAGAAGGCACTTGTTGCCTCCGTTGTCGCTATGATCAAAGCTACCAATTTACTGATCTAACAAGAAGATGAAGCCACAGCGAAGGACAAATAAGTTGTGTCAACGTTGACAGATGCCATAACATTGGCCATGCAATGCTTCCATGATATAGATTCGTCGAGGCGCCTGGTAATGAAGTAAGACCTACATCGCGACTAGTCGGCCCTCTGTAATTCTACCACAGTCCCTTCTACGTCAGAGTACTTGTTTTGGGATTTATCCAAACTAACAAAGGATATCTCTGACGCAAACAAACTAGCAAGGAAAGTCTGGCCACACTTCCAAGCGCGAGGGTACAACAGGAAATACAGCTCGATTTCCCAGCGCAGCCAGTAGCATGAAGGTAATCGGCGATTCCAGCCCTATCAGCGGCCAAGGAATGATTTGTTATCCAAAGGCCGTCCCCACGATCAAAATTCAAGAAAGAAGGGGAAACGAAACAAAATTAATTCCGATCTTGCCCACAACACAGGTATGTTGTCAGCTGAGCTTTCGAACTGCCACCAAATTGTCAGCGCCTTGTCGGAATGGCATACCATAACTTCAGACCCAAAAATATTAGAATATGTCAAGGGAGTGAAAATATAATTCACATCAGGGTTAATGCCAGAACAAGACAATGTGTGGTCAAGCGTGTTTAATCGCATACAATTGCAACATGCCATTGTGAACAATGAAATTGAAGCCCTTTTTAGTAAAGGAATTATTAAACGCTCCAGTCATGAACCAGGAGAATTTATCTCCCCCATCTTTCTCCGTCCTAAGCTTGATGGCACTTACGGATGATCCTTAATTTGCAGGATTTCAATGAATTTGTTCAGTACCATCATTTTAAAATGGATACCTTAGAAACTGCAGTAAAAATGACGAAGCCTGGCTGCTTCATGGCATCGATCGACCTGAAAGATGCGTATTATACGATACCCATTTATCATGCCCCGCCAAAAATATCTAAAATTTATATTCAAAGGTACACTTTACCAGTATACGTGCATGGCAAATGGACTCAGCTGTGTACCACGGCTTTCACGAAACTGCCTAAGCCAGTTTATGCGACACTGAACAACCTAGGGTGTCTGAGCCTAGGCTACATTGATGCCTCCTACTTACAGGGTGATACATCAACTGAGTGCCTTGGGAATGTTAAAGTCACGGATTCGATGTTTAAGAAAGTAGGGTTCACTTACATCCTACAAAGTCAGTTATAATCCCTACTCAACGACTTGTGTTTCTGGGGTTTGTCCTGGACGCCAATGATATGACGGTGACTCCTACTGAAATCGAAATCCAGAAAATAGTCTCAGCCTGTAAATGTTTGCTAACAAAATACAACCCGACAGTAACAGAGGCTGCGGAAGTCATAGGGCTTATAGTATCCAATTTCCCCGGATGGGCCCAATATGGGCCACTAAATCACCATTCACTGGAGTCTGATAAAACCCAAGCGCTGAAAATAAATAAAGGGAATTACAAAACCCATATGCAACTAATCAGTAGTTCCATAGCTGAGCTAGAATGGTGGATTGAAAATATGCCTACTGTACGACGGGATACTACTGTATGCCCTAAGCCCAGCGCGGTTATACAAACAGATGTTTCAAAAAGGGGTTGGGGGGCAGCCCTTGGCAATCAAGAGATAGGTGGAAGGTGGATAGATGCTGAAGCCACCAACCACATCAATATTCTGAAACTGCAGGCTGCATTCTTTGCTCTTAAGGTTTTTTGCAAAAATACTAGAAACACTCATGTACAGTTACAGATTGACAACACAACGGCTGTTGCATACATCACCAACATGGGTGGTACCAAGTCACCCCAACTGAATAATTTAGCCAAAGAAATTTGGAACTGGTGTATAAACAAGAATATTTGGGTTTCGGCAGTACACATAGCTGGGAAACTTAATACAAGTGCTGACAATAAGTCTCGTAACTTTTCAGACAAGCATGAGTGGTCACTTAGCAAAGAGTGCTTTCAAGAAATAATCTCAGTGTTTCCTGAGCTAGACATTGACCTGTTTGCCAGTATGCTTAATGCCCAATTAGATGTTTATTGCTCATGGAAACCAGACCCAGAATGCACTTATGAGTAGTTGCAAATACCCCAAATCTCGGACAAAATGATTTTGTCCAAGAAATTTTTTAAACATTTTCAAAATCTTCGAAAAAATCTAATGCCGATTCCAATCCATTTTGGAATGACAATCAAATTTTCACATAATTTAGTCAAACGTTTGGTTATGCATAAATAAAATAAATACTGACTAAATAAGGGGAGCACGAGGGGTTTGCCCCTTGTAGGAGACTTCGAGAGATTGCACTTCGCGCTTGCGCGGGGTGTGCGGGATAATTTCTCGAAGTCTCCCCTCTCGTTTAACACATTTAAAAAAAAATGATCTAAAAAAATTATTAAATACAAATAAAAATATTTGTATTTAATAAAATGGTTGATATGAAATCGAAAAAAGATGAAATAATCAATGAAATAATGAATGGTGAGATATCACCACCCTCTCGCAAGACCTCGTCATCTCGTGTAATAAAGCTTTACAATTGGGGAGTGTATGAGAGTAATCTCTCTCGCAAGACCTCGTCACCTCGTGTAAAAAAGCTTTACAATTGGGATGTGCATGAGAGTAAACCTTCCAGTGTAATAATGGTTTACCCTGGTAGACCCCCTCGCAATGTAATAAAGGTTTACCCAACATAAAATGATTTAAAGAAATAGAAAAAATAGAAAAAATTATTAAAAACGAGAAAGCAAAAATGACAAATACCGAAGACACAAAGTTATACACACAGTTAACAACCGTTGATGGTTACAATCCCAAAGAACGTATGATCTTTTCCAAACCCATTTCGGGAGAAATTCCGGACAGCAAACCAAAAATCGAGTTCAAGAGAATCAACATTTCTACTCTCAATGAAGACGGGACAGAAGGTGAACTCATTCTTCCCACAGAACGTCTGTATTCATTTGGTATTTCAGAAAATACGAGCCAAGAGACCGGCAAAGTCACTGGTTACACATTTCTTCTGTGCTTGTGGAACCGCGATGGAGCCACGGAAGAAGAGAAGATTTGGACCGAGACTTTCAATAGCATTGTCGATTGTTGCATAGATCACTTGATTGAAAATCGCGAAGAAATCGACATGTTTGAGCTGGAACGCAGTGATCTGACAAAGTCTAAAGGTGGTTTAAATCCTCTCTATTGGAAAATGGAAAAGGTCTTAAATGAAAAGACAGGAAAGATTGTTCAACAAAAAGACCCCGATCGCGGCCCGACCTTGTATGCAAAACTGATTTACTCAAAAAAGACAAACAAGTTTCGCACGCAGTTTTACGATCTAAATGATGAACCGATAGAAGCAGACACGTTGATGGGAAAATACTGTCATGCAAAATGTGCAATAAAGATTGAGTCCATTTTTATTGGTGCTCGTATTTCACTGCAGGTCAAACTGTACGAGGCTGTTGTAGAACCCGCTAAAACGGGAATGAAACGTCTTTTGCCTCGTCCAAATGCCGAATCTGTGGTATTAGAGTCTGAATACGCAACAGCTGCAGATCTTTTGTAATGAAAATCTTATACTAAATAGTATAAGATGAAAAAAAAAACTTGGTTACACACGCAGAGTAATAAAGGTTTACCCTAACATATCAAACCTTTTTTTAACATAATCTCTGTATTTTTTGTGATATGATGCATGCGCCAAGTTTGGCACCAAATCATTGATCAACGATTCATACTTTTCAATCCATTCCAAATCACTCATACACCACTTTCCATTCTCTCTCATCGAATGATTCAAGTGTGTCAATATCGAATTGTTCGCAGACAAAGCGATGTTGAGTTTTTCGATTTTCAAATCATATTTTTTAAAATCCTTATACTTTTTTACAATCGTCATTGGAACAAGTGCAATCAAAGCTAGCAAAGGATTCACAGCCGGTGATAGATGTCGGTACAGCCGCACCAACACCAAGAATCACACCGGCAACATCGAGTGCAATTCCTTTCTTTTTGAACAACCCCTTCACATACTTCATAACAAAATCGAGTCTGTAAAAACGATCATGCAAAGATTGCAGCAATGACAATGTCTGTTTGTCAATGGTGTAATCAATATGATTAGATGCTTGTACAATTTTTGACGTGTAAACCACTTCCGTGTAGTCCATTTTTATATTTCACAAGAAAAATATAAAAATTAATCAATCCTGCTTCACAATCATCAGATGGCTAAAACCCAATCCATCGAGTAGAGTATTGCTGTCATCTGTCTCCATACTCAGCGATGTGTTCGCTTGGAAATACAACAAAACGGTATTAGCCGTATTAACCCATGTTTTTCCATCATGTGTGTTGGGCAGCGGCATCAATATGCCGTTTGCCGTTCTCACGAACGAATTGCTCAAGATAAATCTGAGATGTCGTTCATGTTTAGATCTGACACCATCAATGTATGTAATCAAATACATACCGGCGTTGTTGATTATGAGTTTTGTGTTGTCTGAACTGTTCACTGTGAAATCAGCGTTATCACTCTGTGAAACGTTTGTGGTATGACCTGATGTTCCATTTACGTAAAAACTTACCTGTGATTTATTGTTATGTGCACAGTTTCCTCGATACCAAATCTTTTTTGTTGCATTTGTCAACGCCGTCTTTGTCGCTTTTGAATCGATATTTGTCTGTAAAGATGTTTGAATATCATCAACGTACTTTTTCGTTACCGCTGAAGAGGCGACAGTCGGTTGCTTTGCGAGAGTAAGCGCAGAATTTATACGAACTCCACCACTCAAAAAGCTGTACCAACTTGTCCAAACAGATTTCGGTATGTTGTTGTGATAACCTTTTGATCCATAGACTATCACCCAGATGGGAAGTTTCTGGTCGTATGACTGACCAGATTTGTTTTTGATCACCACGTCAAACATCAAATAATTAGGTGTTGCATTACTCCATTTCGTCATGTGAATCAAGGCGACGATGTGATTATCAAATCGATTGCTACGCTGAGTGGAGATTGTTTCAACACTGCTGGTTGCCGTCAATGTCACACTGCTTGGATCGACTTTATTCGATATCCAACAGAGCTCACAGACGACAGTGTATTCTGCCTTATCCGCTGAATACATATTTACACCAAAACGTGATGAATAATAACCCTTGGAAGTGTCGAGACTTAAATCAAACGGTTTTGTTCTGGGATTAGTGGGGTACAAAACAACCTTATCTGTGATCGGTTTTCCTATTATATCATCTTCATCACTAAACTGACCGTTTTTGCTCATGATGTAAGAAAGGTTGTTAGTCAGCTTGGCCGGTGTTAAGTTGTGAGCCAATCGATCTTCGACAAACTTTTTGTTCACAAGATCGCTATCAGCCGAAGGTGTATGACTAGAAGTGACTTTGTTGGAACCCATTGCAAGGTTTCCTGTCATTGTATCACCTGATTTATTTATCTTTCTTTGAACTATAATATACAAATTCGTAACAGTTGTATCTACATATTTTTTGCTCACAGCTTCGTCATTATCTGCAAAACTATCTGGAAGATTTATTATCTTTCTCTTTCGTGCATCAAGAAGCTGTTTGTCGTTTATATTTTTAAAGCTTGGTACTGTCTTTTTCACATTGTCAACGTATTGTTGATTTGCATTGGAGAGAGTGGTAATATTGAGTAGACCCTTTAGATGCTTCTTCATTGCACCCGATTCATATCGAGAGATGAGTGTGTTTGAATTTTCATAAGTAAACTGCTGAGCGGTGGTCATACCCAGATAGTTCTCTCTCTTTGAATTGATAACATCGTTGCCGTTCATATCGAGATTGGCCGTCATCTTTTGAGTGCCATCCAATAGCAAAACGGATGATGTATCTGCTTTACCACTTAGTCCATTCAACACAGTTGATGAATCGGCCTTTTTCGCCAATTCGGTGTTGAGTTTATTCTCATTTACAGCAGCAGTGCCGTTGAGCGGTTGATCGCTTAGACCCGTAACCTGTCGATCTGATCCATGTGTACTTGTAAAAGTTATCGCCTTCTTCAAATCTGAAAGATCGATGTTACTGCCTGATCCTTGCAGCCCTCTTGGCCCTCTTGGCCCTTGCGATCCTGTATCACCTTTATCACCTTTATCGCCTTTATCACCTTTATCTCCCTTTTGACCTTGCGATCCTTGTGACCCTGTATCACCTTTTGATCCAGCAGGTCCTCTTAACCCTTGCAACCCTCTTGGCCCTCTTGGTCCTTGCAATCCTGTATCTCCCTTTGGTCCTTGTGACCCTGTATCACCTTTATCACCTTTATCACCTTTATCACCTTTATCACCTGTATCACCCTTTGATCCAGAAGGTCCTTGCGAACCTGTATCACCTTTATCGCCTTTTGGTCCTTGCGATCCAGTATCTCCTTTTTCACCTTTTGGACCAGGAGGTCCTTCAGGCCCTTCTTTGCTTGCACCTTCTTGTCTGTGATCTATTTCATGATAACCGTCAGAATATCCCATATTTTTGTTTGTTTATTATATATTCAGAAAATAGTTTTTTATAAATCGTTCATTTGAAAAAGCATCATTGTGTGATAAAGGCTGTACAACATCGTTGAAAATAGAGTACAAACTTTGATGTGCAAGAGAAGGCTTCATCCGTTTACTTGTTTCATTCAAGAAAAAGATACAATAATAACCACACAAGACGCTTGTCAATGCTTGATAATGTGTGTTGTTGAATGCGTAGTTAACTCGATGTTTTTTTGCAAAGTGTCAACACCTCTTGCGGTGGATCAAGACCGAAACTGTCAAAGTACAAGATGAAATCGGAACCAAAGACCATCGCAACCCAGTGTGAACCAGACTCATGCGATTCGTTCAGATTGATAACGAAAGAGTGTCCAGCCTTACAATCTTTTATTTGATCCCTGGATATCACCCCTCCAAAGTTTGGAATCTTGAGATAATCGATCCAGTTTTGAATGTCGAGGTTTGTGATCGGAACATTTTTGAAGGGCGGCCTTTTTAAAGCAGGGCTCCCAGTAGTGGTATTCCGTTGAAGGGAGAATCTTTGCCCAGCAACAGACCTTCTCCTTTCTGTCCTTTTTGCTTTTTTTTACCTTTTTTATTTCCCATTCCAATTGTCGGTACAGGTTCGCCCAATCCCGGTGGGAAGAAAATTGGTTGATTATCCCAATACGGTCTGTTTTGCATTCCCTTACCACTCTTTTTTGGAGCGCGAACGTGTAAGCCTCTTCCTCTCGAGTTTCCGCTTCCGGTCAACGCCTTTAGAAGTATCGGCACACCAATCGAAGCGAGAAGAGTACCGAGAAAACCTCCACTCTGACTTTTTGTCGGCTTCATTTTCATGTCACCACCAGAGTTAAGAGCATTTGCAAGGTCCTGTTTCTGCTTCTTTGAAAGAGCGTCCACATACGGCAAAAGCTTCATAATATTGGAATTTGGAATCAACATTCCACCCGACTGACCCTGACCAGCACCAAGAATCTTATCAGTGGCAAAATTGCCCAGACTTGAGAGGGCACCTGTAGCCAATCCTGGAAGAGCCTTTGTGGCAAGATTCATCGCTTTCGGGAGAAGCTTTGTGCCAAGAGCGAGAAGTGAAGAAAATAGGCTGCCACCTTTTTGAACAACTTTTGTCATCTGCGTCTTGCTGATTTTCAAATCAACTCCTTTCCCCGAATTTATTGCTTTTTTGATCTTTTTGATCTGTGTCTTTGTCAGCATCATCTCGTCAGGGCCACTCAACTCATTGTGTGAGAGGCGAAGAGTTATAGCCGACTTCTCATTGTAAGCTTTAGCAAGCTTTTTTCTTTGATTATCACTCAGTGATACTCCATATGAAATGTAAGTCGTCATGTTTTTTATTATGTTCACAACATAATAAAAATTTTTAAAAAAGCAAACCTTGCATTTGCAAATTTTTCTCAAATCGCAGGGGAGCTCTCGCATTGAATTACTTTTTGATGAGAGCTTTTCCGCTCATAACATCAACACTGATTTCCTCCTCATTGAGGATCAATGCATAGATGTGATAATGAGCGTTGGTGGTATTGTTGAGACTGTACTCAAAGTCCAGTCTTGTTGCAGCTTTCATGATCTCTGGAGGCTGCTTTGTCAAATCAAAGTAAAGCACTCCATAGAGATCTTGAAACTGTTTCATGGTGATCGCTGGACCGAACAAGCTGTTACTTGCAAGTTTTGAATAGCTCGCAAAGTATTTCCATGCTCTTGCCAGCTCACTGCTGGGGTCCAGTTGCTGATCCGGATATCTTGTGTTGTTCTCAACGCGAAGTTGAGCTTTTGTAAAGTACCTCGCGTTGGCAATGTTGTAAGTGTTAAACACAAACATGTTTTGTTCCTGATCGTCAAACTTGGACGCATTCAGAACCCAAACGAAGACATGTCTTGGTCTATCAACAGCACTTGTGATGTTGAATTTACCATTTTTCTGTCTCAGTGGTCCTGAGACGCTGATTTGCTCTCTCTGATAAGTCCATGTATGAGATTTGATGAAGTTATCATAATAGAGCTTTTGTCCAACGTCATTCATACTGAT